TCCATTTCCAATCAATTGTTTATCTCATGAGTGAGGAAGTAAAATGTTTGCCCAACAGATGGCGTGCGAAAGCAGATCTCGAGTGCAACAAAACGACCTACTTCTTCATGAGGCAGTGATCAAAAACGAGCCTGCTGCTGTTCGCGAAGCGCTACAGCGGCCCACAGACGTCAATTGCAGGAACAATGTTAGTACTTTTAAATAATGATATTTTTTTTAATAGCCAACTAATATCGTGTTTACTACACAGGGTCAACAGGTGGCCATCGCTTACTTAATGTAAACATTGAGTTTTTGACGACCGCAGTTTGCTGCCGAAGTCAGCTGAGTTGAGCGACTCTGTTGCCTTTACACAATGCACTAACTTTGACGCGTTAATGCCTGTACCACAAACATCAAGTATACATATAACCAGAAATAGAGACGAAATAACGGTCATCCACCCCTGGCAACTCATCAGTCAAATGGGCCATATATCTCTTTTAAATATCAACTCGCGTTTGCGCTGAAATCACAAATTAGAAAGCTGAAATAGTACAGCGCCAACATCTGACCTGTGTGTACGTCTCCGTATATTCCAAAAATATTCTGTATTCATTGTAATTACGATAATATCTCTAACAACGGGGAGGTTGTTCCATTCGGTGGTGTGGGAAAAACAGCCAAACATCTAATTGCAAAACAAACGGAATCACGTTTCGTCAGTAATTAAATATTAAATATGTAATTTTTCAATTTTCGTCCATTATAGCAAAGCTCAAGTTAAACTGGTCGTTTTGAAGTAAAACAAATGACGCAATGTCATTTGTTTTTTTACCCGTATTATGTTTGATTCGGGCTGGCCAACCGTAATGATTTGGAAGAATAGTTTCAAACATATTAAATGACATTTCGTCTCTATTCCTGGTTATATACTCGATGACCACAGATTACTTATTAATTACCTGTACTTCGCTTGGAGCGGTAGGGTTGTTTGTTACAGTATTATTTTAGTTGTACGCACAAGTTTTAAACATTATTTGAATAATAATCTCAGTACAGAGTACTAAAAAACCGACCTCAAAAGTACGTGGAATTACGTCTGTTTGCTAAGTTTTATTGAAATATCCCCTAGTTCGCCACTATACAGGACTTGACACTGGAGATAATAAAAATAGGTTCTCACTACGACGCTACTCAAAGTATATTGAGAGAAAAGCGCCTTGAATTGGAGAAATAGCAAAATCAACCATTAAAGTAATTGCCCCTAAATTAAAGTTAGGCGCTATTTATAAAAATGAATCTTCATGCGTGAACAGCCACCATTCGAGGTGGATGATTTTCTTCAAAATGAAATGGGACCACTATGGATGTACCCCCTTTCCAACAAAAAAGAGTCATGACAATCGGTTCTCAAATACCGGAGTTATCGCGTACCATACATACAAAAAAAACGAACATACAGTCCGAATTGAGTAGCTCCTCCTTTTTTGAAGTCGGTTAAAAATAAGGTATTCATCACAATATTCTCTTGCTATGTTGATATAACCTTTGTTAAATGCAGTAGGTATTTACGTATTGATATCTTTACGCCAGCATCGTGGATTGGTACCTTGAGTAGGTATAGTGCATGGTTATGAAATAGAAATAAAATTATGAACAAATCTGAATTTGAGGCACTCTTGTTCAGACTACCACAAACGTATATTATTTGATGTCACTTTTTAACCATTGAGCGACCATTTCAATTCTATAATTCATGGCGCGTGACGATTCGAGTGTACCGCGAGATTATGCGCATATATGCGTCTATAGACGACGCGCGACGAGCGTGCACACGTTCAACTCGCACTGCTACGTTTGTATGAAGTTACGCTACTGGTATAAATTACAATAATGTATCCGAAAATTAGTAGTATTGTACTAATTGCTTTTGTTGAAAATAACAATGGCAGGCGAACAATAAAAAAATTAAACACGCGTGGTTGTTATGTTTTCGGAAATAATTTAGTGATTCTCTGTTATTCTCTGTTATGTTAGGTGAAGTTATTAGTGGAGGATACAATACAATGTCATTGTGTTAACTCCTATACCTACTATTTGTTGTACAATCGACTTTCTGTCCAATTCGTTTCCGACATCGTCGAGCATCTTGTTTGAGAATATCACTATAGCATAATAAAACAAGTATGGTAACTCCATACAATCGTAGCAAGGCGGCTTGTATGTGTGCGCGCCGGCTGCGTACCGACGCACAAATTACGGTAAATACACATAAAACACAGTACGGACGCACAAATTCGCATAATCTCGCGATGCAGTCGCGTTGCACAGCACTGGTCATCCTAACGCGTCTTTCATTATTAGGCGAATGTGTGTGTCCGTACACGAGGCGCGGCAGTCGCGCACACATACAAACCGGGCTGTTACTTTGTACCGCGATACCATACTTCCTTTTTTTTAACCAATTTAAAAAAATGAGGAGTTTTTCAATTCGACTGTATGTTCTTTTTTTTTGTATGTATGTTACGCGATAACTCCGGTATTTGTGAACCGATTTTCATGATTCGTTTTTTGTTGGAAAGGGGGTACTTCCATAGTGGTCTCATTTCATTTTGAAGAAAATCATCCACCTTGAAGGGTCTATTCACGCATGAAGATTCATTTTTATAAATAGCGCCTAACTTTAATTTAGGAGCAATTATTTTAATGGCTGAATTTGCTATTTTTCCAATTCAATTTTTTCTCTCAATATACTTTGAGTAGTGAGAACCGATTTTTATTATCTCCAGTGTCAAGTCCTGTATAGTGTAAAATTGGAGATATTTCAATAAAACTTAGCAAATAGACGTAATTCCACGTACTTTTGAGGTCGGTTTTTTAGTACTCTGTACTGAGATTATTTCAAAGTCAAGTGATCATTTGTTCCATAGATTTAATTTTGACACTTCAAAATGTCATTTTTTAAGCTACTGCTCGGTCACTACGCTGACCTCCCTGAGAAGAAGGAGCAAGAAACTTTAGGGATTGCGATTTTGAAATGAACTTAAATGCTATAGAATACATTTTGAATCATATTTGTGTGGAATCTAGACTTTTGTCACGTTGTCTTTCCATACATCTTTATCTAACACGTAGTCTACAATTATGTAATATGACTTTTCAATTAAAATATTTTTAATGTAAGTTTTAAATTTAGGAAATGGTAATCTTAATATATGCCCCGGAATCTTATTGTAAAAACGTATACAGTTCCCCATAAAAGAAATATTTACGTGTCACAAACTTCACTATTTTGTGCAAATATAAGTAATAGCAACAAAATTAATAGATTTAGGCGTTATTTTGGAAATCATATTATTATATTAATAAAAATGCAAGTACATTAATTTGCTATTACGCAAACCCAGTAAACGTCAATTCGTGTGAAATAGTGCGCTTATGCTGCGGCCGCACTTACGTCTATCGTCAGGAACCAACGCGTGCCGAAACTTTATATATGTATTTTGCTCGTTAAAAAGTTATCGCGCAAAAGCGGTGGTCACACTAACGTCTTTTTTTATAATACTAAGTGATAGGACGAACAAGTCGTACGCCTGGTGGCAAGCGACACTCCAATCCATAACAGTTGCAGTGCCACTCAGAGCTTTAAATCGCAAAGTTTTAAACTGCCACTGCGCCCGTCACCCTGAGACATAAGTTGGCAAGTCCCATGTGCCTGTAATTTCACCAGCACCCTTACCCTTCAAAACCAAAACGCAGTAAAGCTCACGTTACTGCTTGGCGGCAGAAATAGGTAAGGTGGCATTATTTTACGAACTCTTTCACAAGGTGCTCTACTGCTATTGATTAATTTTATATAATAATTAAAGATGGCCGCGATACAATTTCTAGACCTATTACTAGAAATAGACTATAGACTACATTTTTCTTTACTTCTACATGTATGCTAGCAATAACATGTTTATGCTAGATATTCTTTGGAGCTAATATGGGTGCAACTTCGAAATTGTGTAAAAACTGCAACAGAATTTCGTCGTTCCACACAATTAGGTATTTAGAGATAGACGTCTAATCAGACCGTGAACTTAAAGAACGCTAGTCCGACCACGCTGCACGATGTTTAACGCGCTTAAATCCTTTTGATGTGCCGCCACCCGGGCGATAACTTGAAAGCATACCGAACATTCGCGACGATGGCCGATAACGGGTGGTTATACCTGCGTGTATTGTATCATTGTGCGAAACTTCGTGACGAAGACACAAGTGCGGCCCCAGCATTATGATCAATTCTTTTTTCATGCAGTTAATTTTTGCCACCCTACCTCCGCGTACAAATTAATAAAATAAATAACACAAGCGCTACACGTGTTTCGGCTCTCTACGGGGCATCCTCAGGTGGTATTGATTGTTCAACGTTCGGCCGAAAAATGGATAGTGCCAGCCGCCGACTGTACCTTTCATATTCTTTGTCTGTAGAGATGGGAAGAACTGCTTATTTTTTTAAACGTTAAAACGATGTGATTTTTTTTAAACGCTTTTTAGTTTGAAGCTTACAAAATTGTTTAGAAAAACATTTAAGTACATAGACTTTTACGTTAAAAAAGCTTGCAGCGTTGTATTGATAGCGAAATACAACTCTACTCAGACCACTAAAGGTTTTAAGACAAATAAGTTTATTTATAAAGCACGACTTTTATTTTTTTATAAAATTATTATTCACATCGACGAATTAATTTGTTTAGGAAACATAGATTAATAGATAGATAGAAAGATAGATTAGTAGTTAACGCTTACGCTTAAATTGAAAAGCGTGCTTATTTTAAAAAGCAATCTATTTTAAGTACTTTACTTTTATACGTCCACTTCTAAATAGAAGTGGACGTTTAAAAGTAAAGCACTTAAACAGACAAATGTCTGTGTTAAGCTTATTCAAGTTTATGTTTTGTTACAGTATGGAAGAGCACCGATCCACTGGGCGGCAAGCAGGGGCAATGTAGAAATTATAAAACTCCTTATCGACGCCAAATGTGATATTGAAGCTGCCGACAAAGTAAGTACCATTACTGCATCAATCAGGCATTCGTCTCGTTTGTTCATGCAATAAAAAAAATAAAAGGTATGCTTAAATAAAAGTGACTCAAAGCAAAATAGTATATTTTTCGAACTATTTCTCTCCGAATTTTACATTGTGAATAAAACTCCAAGCTTTTTACGTGAACGTTTGATGGTATGTACATCGCTTTGTGCGCCAGGGCCCCGAATTCAGAACTCTTTGATATTTTAACTGAATCGTTAGATTGGATACCGTTCTCGAATCGAAGGGCGCTTTCCGAGCTATCCAGAACATTCGAGTTAAACGTTGGTTTCGGATTCAGATCGTGTAATCGGTAAATCGGTGAAATATATTATAAGAAAATTGAAAATCCTTTTATATACATTTTTAAAAAAGGCGTTGCATTTTAAAGGCTTTAAATATGGGAGTGCTTTTGTCTTGCGTTAAAATAAATTTATAAAATTGAACAAAATCCAAACTTTATTTAAAATATTATGATTATTTCCATATTACATTCGTGCTTTGTAAACTACAGGACGTTCGGTAACTTTCATTCAATAACTGTGTTCTGAATAACGTTGCCTTTATCGGTCGAGAAGTTCGAGTAATCGTACGGGTGTGACGTCATTTGAGTTCGGTTTAGAATACGACAGTTTGCCGTTCGATTTGGGTGTTGTGAATAAAAATGAAAAGAAATCGTACGATATTAAATCGAATCGGTGGACAACTGAGTTCTCGTAAGGTTCTGAATCGACTCCAGATACGCTTCAAGGTTACTTAAACCGTCTTCCTCAAAAATTGTTTAATGTTCTTTTTTTATGTAAAGTAGGAGTCAAACGAGCATATGAGCCACTTGTAGGGGGCATTCATTATCATCCATGGACATCATCCATTTGCAACGCCAGAGGAGCTATAGATTCTAAGATTTTCGTTGTTATTCACTAAACAATTATCACTATAATTATTTAAGTTAGCGATCTAGTGCTGATAAAATACAGCCGCACGTGATTGGTTAAAGATAATCTACTAAAGCCGCATTCATAATGGCAAGCTAGTTAGTTTGTTGTCACATGTGCGATGAGAACGCGTGTTATTTTCTCTATTTGCACCGCGTGGTCGCCGAGCGGAATCCGCGTTGCCACCGCGCAGCGACCGCGTGCGTCACGCTTTTACGTTTTAATTTAAATGAGCGAGAGTCCCGGGCACGCGGGCGTGACTGGCTTGAATTTGGTCTTCGCGGCGGACCGCGCTGTTGTATTATTCAGAGGAATTTAAATGTTGTTGCCTAGTAAATAGAATGCAGATTCGCCATTAATGTACACGAAGACGTCGTAACTGGGCGGTCGACGCGCGGCGGGCCGCGCGAAATCTTTCTCCTCGTGTAACTGGGCGCTCTTGCGCCTCCATCTTATGTTCTTGTCATTTTAAGAAATAGTGCGAAAGAGAGCACCTTATATTAGGTCACTAACTTAAATATAGTTCTAGATTTTTTACCACGGTATGATTTCTTTATTCTCCTGACATTTCGGAACGCTACGGTTACGTGTTTCCTGGCCAGCTGCGGATGACAGCTTTAAAAACAGACATATCTGTCTACCACAGAGTGCTTTTGCTGTCTACCCTCTTTCGCTATTGACGACTATCCTCATTTCGAATACTTTTATGGCGTTACCATTGTCACTCACTTTTTTCTCGACAAACCATATTCACGTGACATAGCCACATTTTTTGAACGGGGTGACGTAACGGCGTGATCGGCATGAAAGTCGACAGACCGAGTGCAGAATATCGGTGCGAGGTTCTGCTTTAAAATTATACCACCGTGCACGCACTGCATATAAACAACGCGAATATTTTAAAAATAAAAGCGCGAAAATGTTGTACCTGCTGTAGTTTATCTTTTTTGAAGACAGAGTAAAATGGCATTTACAGGGTTACCAGTTTTTATAAAATTTTAAATAGTTATGAGGTCGTTGTCGATAGTTTTATCGATAAATCGTGAAAGGAGATAAAATTTTGCCAAAAAATGGCTGAATTGTGAATGTTACGACGTTCTAATGGTTACTAATTGCGTTATTGCCTTCGTTATTCTTATTTTGACAGATGGCTTACAAGTATCGAGATCAATTTTTATTCTTTATTTTAACAAGAATAGCCGGATTTGATTATCTACGACTTAAAATTAAAAACTTTAAAGGTGCGTCTACGCTTACGGACCAAGCACGATGCGAACACTTGCCGAGCACAAATTCGTGTAGTGTGGACTGGCCTACGAGTCTCGAACGAGCGCGCGCCGATCGTTCGGGTCGTGCTCAACAGCGCTCCGTCAATTGTTGGTTTTTTGAACATAGTTCTAAATACAATGTATGTATGAACTTACAAAAATTGACGATTCAAATGAACTTGTGCTAGTAACTGCATGAATAATGGGTCGGGGATAATTCAAAAGAAACAAGTTCGGCTATTTATTCCCAAAAATCATGCTGAAAAATTCAGTGCAAAGATCTTTAACAAAAACACATAGAAGAATTTCTACAAGTTTTTTTATGTGTTTGGTCTTTGTATTAATAATCATAATGTTATTATTTATTTTTCATACTATTTTATTAATATACACAATTAATTAATACAATATTTAATTATTTACGATAATCTGCAATTGTTAGAAGTTATAAACATTTGTACGTACCTTTTAAGGTATAGGATATTACAGGTTATTATGGGTACCACCCGGTGGGAGGCAGGCATAATGATATGTATGAATGTAACTTGTACTTGAACAGTATGTAGGCACTGTTATGAAGTATAATCAAATTGAAGTATATTTTCTCAAATATGCTCGGAAATGTTTGAATTACTTTCAAAAAACGAACACTGAAAGTTTGTCATCTAAGGACCTTGCGGTACACTTCTACACTTTTAAATCTATCTACTATAATAATGAGCTATGTAAAGAGGCAAAAGAAAAACTCCTTCAGCCAACTGCCCAGTGTTCGTAATTACGAGAATTAAAAATACTTACCTCTTCTACTGACTTAAAAAAAAGAAAAAGGCGATAAAAATTAAATAAACTAAAGTGCTTTGGTATTCTTTTCTGCTTTTTCGTCTTTTACGTATTTTCGTCGAAAACTGAGTTCAGTGAGACGAGCGATAACGAAAATGTAGTAAGCTCCGCCTAATTTAAAACGAGAGGTAATATTGACCATGGAGAACTTGTTTCTGGGTATGAACAAAGTAAGATACATGAAAACTTATGAAATTTTCATGCACGGGAAAACAACGTGAATTAGAAGTTCACAGCATTAGAAGTTCAGCAAACTACTAATATAAATGCTTGAAAAAAAAACAACATTTTCTGTTAGCAAATTGTCCTAACATGTCAAATATTACTTAATGTTTTTTAGTTTTATTATCATTATTATTTTTATAATGCCAAAATTGATTCATTTCTCTTTTATTATACATCTTCCTCTCTTTAGTCTTTTATATTTCCTCACATTGTTTGAGAAAAGCACTATACGAGACTCGGCGGGAACGGGGATTGCTTTCTGCATTTGTACTGGAAGCGATACGCTACAGAAATCCAACTACCTCGTCCAACGACTCGTATTAATACAAGGCCTCGCTGGCGATCGACCTTCTAACTCATACTCGTCCAGCAATCCTTTCCTTCCATGCCTGTGCAGTAATGTCGTCTATTATGATAAATAATATCATGAGAATATTGTACAGAAAAGTTTCATAAATTGACGAAAAAGTTTAATAGATTTCTCACAGATGGCGCTACGGGATAAAGTCTTTAAAAAGACCAAAACTAAGATCTACAAGAAAAATTCGTACAGACTGCTGTTTCGTTCCGTAGCCCTGTTAGGAGAGCGTCGACCTGGTATGCTGATGACGCTGATTCGAGTCCACAAGGATCGAGGGAATTTTTCTTAGTGTTCGAACTTTGTATTAATAATTCTTACAAACTAGTGCAGCAATTTTTACAAAAAATAATTGAATATCATGGTAGCAAAACATCGCGATAAACCCCATACTCCATAGAAACGTGTAACATCTTTAATATAACTAATGAAGACAATAATTAATTTATTATTATAATATTTATTTGAAAATTTGACGTGAACCTTATTGGAAACTTTACCGGTGAGATGTCTTCATTTTAATGTACAAATGGCTAAATAGCATAATATAGTAATATTTTCTTTCAGTTCGGCATGCGACCTCTACTGATGGCAGCATGGCATGGTCACTTGGAAGCGGTGAAGACCCTCGTCACGGCTGGCGCCTGCCTCGCTGCTATTAATAAGGTATGATGATTCTATTACTAATATATATGAAGACGTATAAGAATCATTCATAATTCGTTTAGTTTTTTGGATAAATTATGTTGTTGCGTTGTTTTATGTATTTGACGAAGACTGATGACGGATAATTGACATGTTATTTTAATCTAAATTGTATTTTTATTATTAAATTTTGTAATGTGTGTAAAAAACAATAATGCAAGCCAAAATGTGGCGACTAAGTGCCATACCCCTGTGGGGTGTCATAGCAATAAGTACTAACCTAATGGAACGTGTATTATTATGACTTGCATTTGAAATAAATAAATTTGTGAAAACACAAGTTGTATAGAAATCGACATGTAATTTATGGTTTCAATATTATTAAACATATTACATATTAGGTTTATTATTTACGCACTTCAACAGAGTAAACTAGATGTAACATGTTTTTTAAATAATACCACATGCGCGTACATTTAGCAAGTCAGTCAGTAATTTAAACATGGTGATAATTGTACTAGCCAATTTTAATAATAATAGTTGCAAAATTAATGTAACTAGAAATAAAAATTATAATAATTTAAATAACGTCAAAATAATAACAAATGACAAAAATTAGACAATAACAAAGAGAGGCTGTAACAAAAACAGGTATACCAAAAAAATGGTGAGACAAACTTGTCCCGAAAGGGCTGAATTATACAAATATTACTAGGTTTAAGTGGTATTAAAATTGGTACATGATTTAGGATGGGAACTGGTAAAATCACCAAAATTAGCAGGAGTGCTCACTTCAGCAATTAAGCAAAGAGTGACGACGGAACAAAACAAAGTGAGAATGACGAGGCAACGGAATTAGAGAACGATTCAAAATTTGAAAATAAGTGGCCAGGAACCAGAAAAAAAGGTGATAAAAAGGTATGATGAAAAAGATCACAACATTAGGAATCTGTCATTTGTGCTATTCATTTTGTACGATCAGAATTATGTAATGGTTGCTAGTGTGGCTCTCCTATGGCTATAAAATAATAATTTTAAAACGTGTGAGGTGGTATACTCCGGCGATGGCACAGCACACCGAATGATACGTGTCGTATGGAGCAGTACCGCTTTCTAAATTTGTGCTGGAGGCGATACCCTACAGAAATCCAACTACCTCAAGTTATTTATAAATTATAATATAATATTAGGGGTTAAAGTATGAAATTGCCGTTTTATTGCAATAGGTTCTTTGAATTTTCATAGAATCTTCATGGTTTGAGGTTTTCGAATGAAACTTTTTTCAAATGGTTTCTGTGATTTTTTTTTTTAATTTGAAACATTTGAATATCGACTTTCAATTGTTTTTGTTATTCAATTTAGACAAGAAAGATGGATACTGCGAAAATTCGAGTGATTTTTGAATACGAGTTCCGACGCGGAACTAACGCGGCAGAAACAGCCCGCAATATCAATGCTGCGTTTGGAGAGGGGTCTACTAATGAATGCACCGTGCGATTTTGGTTTAAACGCTTTCGTGATGGAAATTTCGACTTAAAGAACGAGTCACGAGGAAGACCGCCCGCATAGGTGAATAACGATGAATTAAGAGAGATAGTGGAAGCCGATCCTAGTCAAACTACCCAGGAATTAGCGGCATGGTTTAACGTTACCTTACCCACAATATTGACTCACTTGCGTCAAATCAATAAAATAAAAAAATACGAAAAATGGGTGCCTCATGATTTGACTGGACTGCAGAAAGAAACGCGTGTTGAAACTTGTGTTGCCTTGTTGAACCGGTACAGAAATGAAGGAATATTGGATCGAATTGTAACATGTGATGAAAAGTGGATTCTTTATGATAACCGGAAAAGAAAAATGCAATGGCTGACCCCAGGTCAAATGCCACAACAGTGTCCTAAAGCAAAACTTACCAATAAAAAGGTAATGGTAACTGTTTGGTGGTCTCAGCATGGTGTTATTCACTAAAGTTTTCTCTGATCTGGTCAAGCAATAACGGCAGATGTCTATTGTGCCGAACTCCGAACCATGTTGACAAAACTAGCAGTAAAACAGCCCCGACTCATGAATCGATCTTCACCATTATTGCTCCACGACAACGCGAGACCTCACACAGCACGAGAAACCATTTTGACCCTTCAGGAACTGCAGTTAGAAACCATTCGTCATCCTCCGTATTCACCAGACCTTGCTCCAACGGACTACCATTTTTTTCGTGATTTGGACAATTATCTACGTGACAAGAAGTTTTCTTCCAAGGAGGCAGTACAAAATGCTTTCACACAGTTTGTGCAGTCTAGATCGTCGGAGTTCTATCGCAAAGGCATTAATAACCTTCCCATTAGATGGCAGCAATGTATAGATAATAATGGCAACTATTTTGATTAAATAAATTTGTTAAAAATTTAATTTATTTGTTAAAAAATAAACAATTTAGATTTTCAGTACAAATCGGCAATTTCATACTTTAACCCCTATT